CTTAGTTTAAGTTTCTTAACAGCATCCAAGGAAACCCCACCATAAGATCGGATAATGGAGAATGCGATGAAACCAGAGTCCCAGAGTTCGGGATCTCGGCGGAGGCCCTGAACATGTCACAGGTGGCCAGGCTAGCGAAGTCATGTATATTCTGTTTGGAAATCGCAGGTTTTTAACTCTTGTAGTGGCACAGTATTCTTGGAGCTTATGCACTTCATGAAGTTTGGCTCAACATTAACATTCAGAGTTGGCATATTGCGAGCACTGAATCGATGACCGTGTAAGAAAACATCACAAATCTCGCATGTCATCGCACGCAAGCATGCGCCTGTGTGTTTTCTCGTTGTGTGTTCGATGATCATTGCGGGCCATTGCAGGTGATTGTGCCCTTTGTACTTATTTTCTGGGTGCTTCATGGTTCAAAGGTAAAAGGAGTGTGAGGGAGTAGCTCCCGTATGTACCAGTTCGTGTTGAGGCTCCAACACTTCCCGACCATACCATGATCCCGTCATGCCGACAGGAAAGAAGTTGCAGTCGAAATGGATGGGATCCTCAGTTTAGCTCGACGCTCAAGATGCACTTTTGACATGGCGTCCGCGAAGACATTCGGAACAACAATTTGCGCATCCATCCCTTTTGTATCGCTGAGGGGGATTCCCAACGGGACTGTTGGACAACTCAGGTTGAAGAAGTGGTAGTGGCAGCGAAGTAGGAGTTATGAAGGATTGTGCTGTGTTCTGCAAGGCCGTTGTAACCCTAGCCCTGGACTGAAGTGTAACAACGGCAACTTACCTAAACTCGCTGAGGTTTTCCAAGCTATTCGGAGGCGCCGAGAAAGTCTGTTTCAGAAGCTTGTCGTGGCAGCCTCCCTTGCTTTAGGCATTAGGGTTATTGCAGTTTGTTAAGTGAACAACTCCTCCTACTCCTGCGCCGCTGCTTTGGCGAATGCTGATGCGACCCCTGTCCTACGGTTGCTGCTGCTGCTGCTGCTTTAAGTTGTTTTTTTCTCGTAGGATTACCTTCAAAGCTATCCTCATGTTTATCTGTACTCCACAACATTTGTGGGGTGATGACCTGCATTTCTTTCATGCCCATCCATCCCCCGTGGCAGGATCGTTTTCATAGCAAGAGCTGCAAGGTCGCAGGGGCCTGAATGTGCTTGATGTCACATGTGTTGCTCCCAAATGATGTGTGCCCTTTTGGGGCAACTAAACCCTAAACCCTGATCAGCGCCCAGTAATTGGGCTTTTGCAACATGGAACCTAGCTTTGAGCTTTCGGAAACTGCCTGCCTGTAGGCAGAGGCAGATGCAGCCGCGATGAGCTACCGTCGGAGTTTTTGTATATGAGCTAGAGTCTAAACTC